GCCCCGGGGGGGGGGTGCCAACTGCAGGAAGGGAATGCCGGGTGCACTAAAAGAGTAACCTAAGGGGCCGCCACCACCTAATGGCTGAACCCCACCTCTGCTAGAGAGCTCCGCTTTATCCCAGCGACCAAGGACTCGGGACTCCGCACACAAACTTGTACAATGGATATGGAAGCTACATTTTTGACTTGCTCTTTTTTACATTCTGAATTATTGTAATAAATCGACTTCCTGTCCCTGTTACTGAATGTCAGTCCCTTGGTAGAGGCGAGAGAATCTGCAGAAGCCAGAGCATCGCACCCATGATCCATTACGGCTGTTGCAATGCTGTACTGGCTCCAATGCAGAAATAAAATGATAAACGCTCATTTGTTTCTTTTATGAATGTGTATTTATTCTTTAGAAGGTGGAACTTTCCTATAAATGTGTTACATTGTTTCTATATAAAGTTGTACAACTGCTGGACACATTTGCCGTCTGTAACGAGCCCCCGCTCGCTCGGTTCCACTCTCCCGGCACTCTTCAGATTTCAGCGTCTGATATTTCGGACATCCGATAATTCGGGATTGGAACTCCAGCTCTGTGCCGTTCGTATCTAGTGGTGATCGCTCAGAACAAACACCGGGCCGGCTGTATGCAAGTTGAAACAGGAATCTCTTTTATTGGATGCACACAACACACTTTTATACACCACAGTTTGAAGGTGGCCCAACCGACCACCTTCCTATTGGTCAATTGTCAAGTCCCCTCTAGTCCTCACTTAGGTCCTCTTGGCCATGCAAATGAGGACTTGAAACAGGGTCAGCAGGGATTGGTCCGATAACTTGAATGGGAGGGGCTGATATGTGTACCATTGTCATTAACATTGGGTTTCCAGAGCCGGTATTGAATTGTGAAATTGGGCCCCGGACACCCAGTTCAACCCACAAGGGGGGGGGGGGTCTCCATAGTTCTGGGTCCATAGTCAGTAGGAAGGAGGCTCCTCCAGCAGCCCCAGTGACGGTTCAGTCCGTCACACCGTGAGGGGGGGTGGGTTAAGCGGAGGTGGCGGGCAGCAGAGCTGACAGCCAAGGGGGTGGTGGGTGCTGTTAGTCAGCTGCACTGCCCCCCCTTCACCAATGAGATGCTGTCTGAGGGCAGGTTCACACCATTTTTTTTTTCTGGTCCGGAAAATGGTGTGAACCTGCCCTCACTTTCAGTGCATCACAGACCAGACAAAATAAGACAAGCAGTACTTTTCTGGTCTGGAACGGACTGCGCTTGTGTGAACAGAGGCCAGAAATAGCATAGGGATACATTAGGATGCATTTTGGGTCCGGAAATGGTCTGGTCTGGAGATGATCTGGATGTGATGTGAATGGGCCCTGAAACTACCGCCTCAGGCTGCCTCATTATAGGGACACTTGGCATACCATCATGTACATACCATCAGCTGCTTAAATCTTTGGTTCTACTGATGCACGGATCAACACATATGAATGATATTCTACAAGAATTCAGCAAACTGAGCATCTCAGGGATGAAACTTGCCGCTGACAACCGGGAGAAATGGGAAAAATGACTGTTAGAAAGTGCAATTACCAGTAGGGTCACCGCAATCAAATCCTGAAGTGCAACTTAAGCTAAATATTTTTTTTTTTTAGTTGTGGGCAGAGTGGGGGAGGGGTTAGAAGCCCTGCCAGGTTTCCATTGCGGTCTGTGACCCCCGTTGGGGAGATTGATCCTCTCTATTTGTCCCGGTGACCGTTATCAAACAAAATCCCACATTTGGGGTTGTCAGGAGAACAGGAATAGATGGGAAATCTTGCAGTGGGGACACTAGTTCTGGCTTCCGTACTAAAGATGGCGCAGGGGGTGTGTGAGTTCCGTGCGTCATTTCCAGAAGGTTCACATTTAGTTCTACACATTGGCATTATGTCATCACGCATCCGGAAGGCTCCCGGCGAGCATGCGCTGTGACGCGTGATGACATCACTTCCAGGTGTACCCGGCAAACAGAATAGGACTATCCAGGGTCAGCTGCATACAAGTAAGCTATAGGCTATAAATATATATGTACAGCTAGAGGGGGGGGGGGGGGGGGGGGGGGGGCTGAGCCGGGGTCACAGAACGGACGAGCAGTGAGGGGAGA